GGGGGAGCACGGTAACAACGCAGAGGGGAACCGCCCTACTAGATGCCCTGGCAACCCTGGATGCCTGCCTCCTCAACGATGGAGGCAAATGTACATACAGTAAGGCAGGTCAATTATCGACCTAACCTTCGCCAGCCCGGAGCTCACTCGGAACATCTACTGGGAAGTCACTGATCTGCTCTCCTACACTGCCTGGCGGGCCTACCCAACTGGCAATCTACCTACAAGGTAGGCACCCTATATGTCGAGGTGCTTTTAGCAAGCATGGATGGTAATACCATTTTTAGGTACGCAAACACCTACGCGAATGAGGTATCTGCGAGGATCACGACAGCTTACGATGCGGCAATGGAGAGCTCGACTGGAGGGCATGGAAGGCGACCAGTCCCCTGGTGGAACCAAGAGATAGCCACAGCCAGGAGAGAGTGCATCCCTGCGACGTCAACGAAGCCTTGGACGCCCCATGCAGGAGCTATTTGAGTCTCGCTACAGGGAAAGGAAAAAAGCCCTAAAGGTTGCCATTAGAGCAAGCAAGAGAGAGTGCTTTCAGCAGCTGTGCGACGAAGCGATAATCTCCACCCTCTTCCCTGCCCAGCCGCCTCTAATGACACCCAGGATGGCTGCGGGCGAAGCTATTCTCACCAGCGAGGAGGAAGTCGCGGTGCGCGGTGGCCAGTAGCAAAATATCCAAAGCCCCGGAACCAGATGGATGGCACTGCACGCTATAATCAGGGCAAACACGAGCCTATTCACCGAGCTGCAAAACAACTGCATCGGCGAACGTACCTTCCCAAGAGTCTGGAAGCAGCAAAGGATCGTGCTTATCCCGAAGCCAGGTAAACAGAATGACGATCCTTCCTTATACCGGCCCCTCTGTATGCTTAACACATTGGGGAAGATTTTTGAGCGCATCATTTGCAGCAGACTGGAGAGAGAAATCGAAGAACTCGGAGCACTCTCGGGCCGCCAGCATGGGTTCCGAGAAAAGAGAAGCGCAATCGACGCAATCCGTGAAGTGACCCAACTTGCAGCAAATGCGATCGAAAGCACACGATGGCAGTGTATGCACCCTCGACGTCAAAAGCGCATTCAAGTCAGCAAACTGGAGCCTAGTCCTGCAGGCATTGCAGCGCGTCGGCATATCTGGATACCTGATTAAGCTAATAGCCGACTATTTAAAAGACCGAGTTCTTTTATATAAATCGTATGACGGCAACCAACAGCACCATGTCACAGGCTCAGTGATTAAGCCTATCTTGAGGAACGTCATGTATGACGGGGTTCTCAGGCTCCCATTTCCCTCTGGCTGCGCGGTAATGGGGTTCATGATGACATCCCCGGCCCCAAGCAGCATAGCAGGCGACTGATAGCAACAGTGGTGACCTCGACCATCCTGTATGCCGCGCCAATATGGGCTGAAGCCATGAAGACCGCAGGACTGGAAACTCAGGCAGCAGAACCCAACGAAGCGACACTATCGCACGTTGCATAACGTGTGCGGCCAGGATCATCACAAGCTGTTGCACCTTTCTGAGCAGCCACTGGATCCGCGCCAGCCGAGTCAGTATGGGCGACGGTGACGGGGTGCCCGGCCCCGGAATTCTTTAGCCGCTCCTCGGCCCTCGTTGATCAGTGCACGGAACTCTTCCCAGTTCGCCGGCTACCCTTTGGTTTGAAGAATGCTGCCAGCATCTTCCAAAGAACCATCGACGACATACTCCGGAAACAGGTTGGCAAATTTTGCTATGTCTATGTTGATGTTGTCATCGTTTTTTCAGAAGACAAAAACGCCCACATACGGCACGTGGATTGGCCTGCACGACGCCAACATGAGGGTGTCAACGCAAAAATCGTGTTTGTTTAAAAAAAGCGTTAGCTTTTTAGGCTTTATCGTTACAAACAATGGTGCCACAACAGACCCAGAAAAAATCAAGGCCATTCAGGAATTCCCCGAACCCAAAAATGTACCGATGCTTCATCAAAGATTTTGCATCAATAGCTAGGCCCATCTCTGATATTCTTAAAGGAGAGCATGGGAGTGTCAGTAGGCACAGATCCTAAAATATTCAGGTGCAATTTAGCGAGCAGCAACGGATTGCTTTCCAAAAGTTGCGTAACATTCTGGCTTCAGAGGATGTCATCCTCAGCTATCCTGATTACAAGAAGGCATTCGATCTAACGACATATGCCTCGGCATTTGGCATTGGCGCGGTACCATCCCAGGAGGGAAGACCCATTACCATGATATCTAGGGCCCTAAAGGGCACTAGCGAAATTACGCCGTTACTTATATGCAGTAAAAGATATAAATATGCACCAACCGTTGACATTCGCAGTATCGGAATCCAATCAGAATGCGAAAATGAAACGATGAAAAGCTCGCATCGACGAGTCCGGCGCCAAAATGTTTTATAAGCCCGGTAAAGAGAATCTTGTCGCGGATGCCCTCTCCAGACAGCAACTTAACGTTGTGGAGGCGGAAAAAGCTTACTCGTGTGCGGCCACTATTCACAGCGACGTGTCGCTCACACACACCATCGAAACCACGGATAAGCCTTTGAATTGCTTTCAGAACCAGATAATTCTAGAGGAAGCACACTTTCCGTCTAAACGCAGCTTCGTGCTCTTTGGAAAAGAGAGGCGGATATTATAGTCCCCAAAGGCGTAAATGCGATCTGCACACGCTGGCGCAATGATACAGAACGAATTGGACCTACATTTCCCAGCCACCAAGTTCTGGCACTGCAAGAACCATGGCACAGATATTTTCACAGTCGCTGAGAGACGAGAAGTCCACACCACTGAGATCTGCACAGTAGAGCTGTAAAAAAATCGATTCTCAGCGAATCGATTTCTTAGAACATAAAATCGATTAAATCGAAAACAAAACCATTTTACTTCAAGGAAATTCAGGGAAAAACCAAAACATAAATTAATTTACATAAACATTCATAAAACAATAAACTAAAAATGTATTCATAATAAATCAAATAAATTTTTCTGGCCATAACCAGTGATTAATTAATTTTGATTTTTTATTTTCTGAAAATATTTTGTTTCTTATTTTATGAACCTTTATTTTAAATAAAATTATTTATTTTAAATAAAATTATTTATTTTAAATTAAATTATTTAAACCCTTTATTTTAAATAAAATAACTTATTTTAAACAAGAAAGGATGCTAACTTCGGCACGCCGAAGTTTGTATACCCTTGCAGATTGGTTTTCATATTTATATTATAAATTATAATGCCGAAACCAGACACTAAACAGAATTTCATAACATTTTACCTATACTTACTATGTTTACAGTTTGACAGTTACAGTTATTCATTCCCAGCTTTACATTTTCTCTACATCTACAGATCGCTTCTATGGCAGCTATAAGATATAGTGGTCCGATTTTCATAAAATTTTTACCAAAATTCTGAAATAATATAAAATGGCTATATCTCAAAAATGATGCAAAAATATTGAAAACAGTCAAGTTATGATTTTTTTCTAAAAATTTATAGATTTATTTATGGCAGCTATATGATATAATCGTCCGATCCGGCCCGTTCCGACATATATAGCAGTGAGAGTATATAGAAGACTATATGCAAAGTTTCATTCAGATAGCTTTAAAACTGAGGGACTAGTTTGCGTAAAAACAGACAGACGGACAGACGCACAGACGGACAGACGGACAGACAGACAGACGGACAGACGGACATGGCTAGATCGACTCGGCTGTTGATGCTGATCAAGAATATATATACTTTATAGGGTCGGAAAGGTCTCCTTCACTGCGTTGCAAACTTCTGACTGAAATTATAATACCCTGCCAGGGTATAAAAATTGGCTGTATTCTAAATTAAAACGTCGTCTTCAAGGTAAGTTTGGATGAATCAGGCGTCAACTTCTTCGAGCCGACTCCACCTCATCTATGATCTCATCTTGTTCGGCTACACAGATCTCGGCCTTCCTGAATCATACCGACTTCTTTAGCCAGTATTCTCCAGTTGCCACAACCAGTTGTTATTTATTAGGAGGAGTCCCCTGCATGAGTGGCTTTATTTTTCTCCCATAGACTTTTGAAAACTCTTTCATGGTTCGATTGACTCGTTGGTAACCAGATGCGAGCTCTAAGTCATCTCGAAATCTCCCTGGCGGGGACCAACCTTATCGTATGGCCATCCCACGTGTTGCGAATCTTAGCAACACATTCTTCTTTGAAAATCTGTCGTTGTACCTAATTTTCTGGTGCCCCCTGACCATATCCAAAAAGTTGAAAGAGGGGATAGGTCTGCCGGCAAAGCAACCAACCTGTTAACTTTGCCTCTGTCTCCTCCCACTTCTCTGTCAGCAGGCGCCCGTCGTCATTGAGCTCATCAACCAGCTCCATAGCAGGACTGTCTCTGGCTAACTTACTAAACTTTTTCGCCTGCTGTCGAATTGTGTCGCTCTGATCTTTCCTTGGATGTCCCTAGCCCTTTTGGGTGCGCTCTCACTTCACGCGATCTACACGTCGAATTTGGCTTTGTCGGCAGCGTCTCTTGCCCTCAGCCTTATACCTTGTTGTTGGCCCTTGCGCCCTTGTCGAAGCGCTTTAGACATGAGATGAAGGACTGGTGCCCGGCATCGGCATCTGGCATCGTGGAGGACGCGCTCCACATCCCTTATAAGTGCCACGATTCGGCTTCGAGAGGCAGGAACTGGAGCTGCCACTGCCTCACTGGTTATCGATCAGCGGAGAAACCTGGTGGCGTGAGTGTGATGAAGGCACTTAGGGCCCGGCAGCGTAGGCAGAAGGAGCAGACGGAGTATGGGTCCCCTCGCCGGGAAAGCAATGCCTAGCGGCGATTCCGCACGGCGTGATACCCATAATCCATATTCTCATTCTCATCTCCTATTCTCAGGTGTTTTTAACTTCTAAAGCCTTTGTGCCTAATTAGTTTTTAAATATGTATAACTCTAGTTTTATTGAAAAAGGAAAAACAATTTTTTTTAATTACAGCAAAGTTTTACTTCAAACTGGCCCCGGCTGCTGTGGTTAGCAATCGATCAAAAAGGTATTCATCTACTAGAGCATCGTTCAAGAAATATTTTGTGTACTCACGACTACGAATCCATAATATCATTTTCGCCCAATTTAAATTCCTTAATGATTTTCACTGGAACGGAAAAGAAACAATCGAAAGTGATATTAAGTACTTCTCAGGTAAGAACATTTGATACTATTTATATTTGAATATACCATGTTTATCATCTTTAATAATGATTTCATATAAGCTTTTTTTTATATATATAAGTTCATATTTATTGATTAACGTATAATCAACCAAATCAATGATTATAAAACGTAGGGACTAACACTAGCTACAAACATATCAAGGATACTTAACAGCAAACGATAAACAACAATTTATAATTTACAAAGACATTTTAGATATTGGTGTAGGACTCGCGTTCTTTGCCTCCCTCTTAACCAAAGGTCACCTGGATGGCGTCTCTTCAGTCTTCGTCTGGTCATGGGGATGGCCAATGATGCCGCTAGTTGGTTGGTGTATCGACTTGAGTGCCTGTTGATCTGCTCCCTCAATGTTGGCATTTGAAGGTCGTTAGCGATGTCAGCAGTCCTAGCAAACCAGGGTGCATTTGTGACCGTGCGCAGCGCCCTGTTTTGAACCCTTTGCACTTTCATGACGTTAGAGTCGGACGCAGTACCCCATATCTGGATGCAATAGATCATAGCAGGGACAACTATTGATTTGTAGAGCAGCACTTTGTTTGCTGAGGCTCAGCTTGCTTGTGGGCTTTAGCATCTAGTTTAGCTTTCTGAGTTTTCCACGGCATGCTGCTGCTATTTTGGTGGTGTGTTGCCTCCACGTGAGCCGCTTATCCAGGACGAATCCCATGTATTGGGCCTGAGGGGATTGAGGAATTAGCGTGTCCTGAAGTTTAACCCTAGGGAGAATTTGTGTCTGAAGGAAAAATTGTAGTGTTGCGACTTATTTTCAATTATGGATATGTTCCATCTCTTTTTCCACTCGCTATATTTGTCCCAAAAGCCTCGATTCGACACGCTGAGTTTGCGATAAAGGCTGTGTCATCAGCATACGTTGCAAGGAGTGTCCCCGGTTCTCTGGGATTAGGCAAGTCAGAGGTGTAAAGGGTGTATAACACTGGACCCAAAACAGTACCTTGCGGTACTCCAGCTCGACTGCTTCTAATGGATGATCTTTCACCTCTCACATCAACCATGAATTTTCGCTCCAACAGGTACGATTTCAGAAGGAGATATTGAGCAGCTGGTAGGAGTGTTTCTAGCTTAAAAAGCAAGTTAGCAGAGCTGTACTGACCGTTTTCGAAAGCATATAAGATATGCTGCGTTACTCGTTGAGTTCTGGGGTTCCATGGTGATTCCGAAAGGCAAACTGGTGATCTGGAATGGCATCCTGAACACTTCTTACTGCCATCATTCTGCTAAGAAATATTCTTTCAAAAATTTTAGGGAATGTTGGCAGCAAGCTTATTGGCCGGTTAGACGCAACAAGGTTCTCCGGTTTGCCTGGCTTTGGTATCATCGATATCACTGCGCACTTCCATTATGTGGGGAAGTGGTAGATACGTAACATGGAGTTGAACAGGAGCACAAGGAATAATATTCCCTTTTTGGGCAGAGCCTTCGCAACTCTATCATCGATTCCGTCAAATCCCTTGGAGACAAACTCCTTCCGGACTTACATGACGAATGGGCTCTACATCTGGGCAGGAAGTATTAAGAAAAACCAGAGTTGCTTCCACGTCCTCACTCTTAACATGGTCAAATGCCTGAAATCGACCTTCCAGTTCGTCGGCAAAAGTCAGAGAAATTTCTGCATCCGATCTGCACCAATTGTTGTCAGCACGCTTTATAGGGATTCTGCGTGGGGGCTGCCTTGCTGCTTTCCAGAGGTTAAATCCATACGGTTTTGTGGGGTCTGCATTGCATAGTAGATCTGAGAAATAATCGTTTTTCGTCTTATGCAGCAACTCCTTTAGATCGTCCTCAGCGCGACGATATGCTCTTTTGTCGGCCGGATTTTGCGACCGCATGAATCTGCGATGCAAGGCTCTTTTCGACCTCACCAAATCCAAGACCTTAGGTTTTAAAAGAGCATGAGGTGGATATGGTGGGTTGTGACGAGTCAACCGACTCCCCACAAATAAATATTAAAATATAAATATGAATAAGCCAGTAGATATTTAAGCCAGCCTTACGATAGTTATTTTCCCATCACCCGCCCGTTCTCACATCACCAGCGACAACACGGACACACACACACCAGCGCAGCAACGAAATATTCACCACGAAATGTGGTCACGTGACCGAGCGCCGCGTAAGAGCGAGCGAGAGAGCACACGATCGTGCAGAAAAGCAACTTCAGAAAAGTCGAGAAAACTTCTGAAAGCGCGTGCAAATTCACTTTCTGTGACGTGGCCGACTAGAGAAGAAGTGCAAGTTCTGGTGCGGGAGAAGGCGTTTGCCACTCCACGTGCCGGAGTGGAAAAACCCTCCTCCTGGTCTCCTGGCTTCCAGCGTCAATCGACGGCTGGCTCTTCGGTGGCGTGGTGGCTCTCGTTTCGCCTTGTTGTTGCGGCGAGTCTCCTAGGTGGTGTCTCTTGGCAAAAGTCCGCGTGCTTCTCCGGTTTTTATTTTACTACTGCACGTGGACTGGCAAACGCCTTCTTCCACACAAAAATCTCCTTTTGCGCAAGCCAATCACGTCTCAGAAACTCCTCGTCTTAGAAACTCTCCTCGAAAACTGATTTAAACTTCTCTTTGCGAAGTTTCTCGTGGTTTTCATTTTGGCTTCTGGAAGCTTCTGTCCTCGCTTCCTCTCGTTCTTTCCTTTGGGCGCGTGCCAATTTTCAGGGATTGCTTGTCAACAGAGTCTTTTAACAGAGTCTGGCACCAGAGTCTGGCAAAAGAGTCTACAACCAGGAGGATACTCGCCGGTGTCCCGCAAGGAAGCGTGCTTGGCTCCACGCTCTACAATATCTTTACGCACGACGCCCGCTGCACTTGAGATCGGAACGCACCTGTGTGCTTACTCACAGTGACTAGTCGTGTTTTTCCGAGCTCAAGAATAAAATCAGTGCAATCAGCCAGAAAGGCCCTGTAAAGTGGCATTACGGCATAGTGAGACACCTTGTGTGAGGTACGTACCAGAATCGGTCCCGACAGGCTATCCGGGCTCCCCGAATCTAGGTCACTTGGGATCACCACAGGAACTCGAGGGCGAGGGGGGGACTCTCTCCCGTCCAGCGAGAGTCTCTATTTCTCGCGAACGCCGCACACTCTCATGCACTGGAATAGTTTAGTTTCCACAAGCCACATTTTTCCCTCGCATTTTTCCTCACGGGGAAACACAACAAGATCAGCTGATCACAGTGTTGGGCAACGCAGGCGCAGCGAGCTTTCGCACTCGTTCAGTGCTGGAAAACGCCAGTTGTAAAGTTTTCCCACCTAAGCATTAATTTGAATCTGGATCAAAGCTCTGGTTTTTTTAGATTAAAATTTAAATTTAGATTCTGGAACCAACTGAAGGTTTTATTTTATAATTTTTATTCTTATTTTTACAGAAAGTCTTAGTAGTTAGTTAAATTTTTTTAATTTCATACTTTTTATACTTTTTAGTTAGTTTTTTAAAATTTTCTATTTTTAAACTTTAAAATTTTTTTTTCTTAACCTTGGGCTTAAGCTAGGTCTGAGTCTAAGTTTTGGGCATAGCCTTGATCTGACTCTCGAAATTAAAATTTAAACTTTAACCTAAACTCATTGAATTTATAAAGTTAATCTAGAATTTGAATTTAAGGTAGTTTAAATTTTTAAATTTTGAACCCTGGTCAGATTTGGGCTAGTTTTTAAACAGGGGTCTTAGATAAACTAATTTAAATTGGGCTTAAAGTTAAGCTTGAGTTTAGCTTTGAAGAGTGGTTTAGATTTAGTTTTTAAATTCAAAACTTGAATTCAGAGTTAGTTAATTGGTATCTGGGTTTGATTCTAGGATTGAATATTGGCTTAGATTACTCACTCTAAACTTTTAATTTGATTAAACTTGAGCTTAAAGGCCTGAGTTTGAATTTGAATTTCAATCTGAATCAAGATTTAAGTTGAATTCAGTCAAGTTCAACTTAAATTTGGAGCCTGATCCAGAGTTCGGTTTCTGGGTGGTAGCGAGGCTTAAAACCTAATTTAAAAAATAAAAAAAACCTCCAAATAACTGGAAAGCCAACCCATGCTGCCCCAGTTAATATTCCGCAGATGGCTCCAGTGGGGAAAAGAGCAGAAGGCCAAGGAACTCGACTTTATCAGAGCAGAGGAGGAATTGCTGCGAAACTTCCAGCGCAACAAGCAGAACGTGCAACGCTCGCCTCCAGCGAACATGGCAGACAAGCACCCGGTGTCGGCACCCCCAAAAGTGCAGGGACCCATGTTTGTTTTCGGCGAGACTAAGGAGGAAACAGCTACTCCAAAAAGAAGCTGGAATGCTCTGAGCCCTAAAATGAACTAGTCAGGAGCGCACAAGTAGCAGAGTGTGAACACTAGCGCACCAGCACTAGCTGAAAAGTTTGGGAAGATGCTTGGGGACAATTAATTCCATGCTGGCGATGAAAAAGCTGCAGGTCGACTTCAGTGCCGCGCTGGCCGATGGCCACATCAAGGGCTCTACCTCGAGCGTTGGCCAGCAGACCACTCCCACGCTGACAGCCACGATCCCCAAAGCAGTTTGCACCACTGGGTCTGGAAATTCGGCATGGCAACAGGTCAGGACCAAACCTAAACCCTTGAATCTCCAACCGAGACCGGAGAGCAGCGAACTCAAAGGGATTCGCGGACCAAACGCTGTTATGCCCAGGAAGCAGAGCACCGACCCTATCTTAATGAAATGCAGCGAAGGTTCATACGCGGATATGCTGAAGCTGGTCAAAACTGAGCCCTCCAGGGACTCAAAGATAATGTTCAAGGCCTGCGAAGAACTGCTAATGTTGGACTCCTCCTGAGAATGCAGAAGCCTCAGGACCTGTCCACACAGCAGCTACAGGCAGCACTCAGGACGGCCATACCTGACAATGCAGAGGTGGCGGTTATACAGGAAACTGTCCAAGTGGAGATCCTTGACCTGGACGAGATGACAAGCGGCGAAGAAGTCACCATGGCTCTGTTCGCCGAAAAGGATTGCGACGCAAGCAGCAACAGTCAGCCTCAGACCTGACCATGCGCGGAGGCTGCTCGAGAAGGGCAAAATCCGAATCGGATGGGTCGTCTGTCGCATCAGACAGAAGACCAAGCTGAAATGCATGGGCTTTGGGCATACTTCGACGATATGCAGGGCCTCAGACTCAGTAGCCAAAGCCACACAAAATTCCTGCTTTAGATGCGGGGAAGCAGCCCACAAGCATTACACGTGCCAAGCCGAGCCCAGTTGTATCCTATGCCCCAGAGGTGGCAAACCCGCGGGTGAAGCTGCTAATGCCACTCTGAGCAGGATCTGCCCTGAGTACCCAAAGGCCACCTCTAACATGCATATCGGTTAAGTTTCTACAACTTAACTTAAACCATAGCAGAGCTGCCCAAGATCTGCTGTCACAGACGGTTTTCGAGGAGAAAATTGACATTGCTGTACTGAGCGAACCGTACAAGTCAAAAGCAGATGGATTATGGCAACAGAGTGCGGATAGCGGTGCAGCCATATGGAGCTGCGGGCAGTCCCCCGGACACCTATCGCAGAGGGCGTCGAGACCTGGCTATGCAAGGGCCAAGGTCCAAGCAACCACTATTTACATCTGCTACCTAGCCCCGAGCTTGCATATAGATGCCTTCAGAGACATTGTGCAGGAGATCTTCCGAGATGCCCGTGGAAGATCCACCGCCTGGGGGAGCTCGAGAACGACTCATCGGGGAACCATCCTTCTGGATGCCCTGGCCACATTGGACGTTTGTCTTCTCAACGATGGAATAAGATGCATCTACAGCAAGGCACGCAGAGAGTGATTCATTGACCTGACGTTCGCCAGCCTGGAGCTCTGCCGGATTAGCCACTGAAAGGTCACGGACTTGCTCACATACAGCGACCACGCAGCTATAATCACCCAGACGACGCACAGTAAGCAGGGCCCATCTAACCGGCAACCTGCGTACAGAGTACACACCCTTAACGCAGAGACACTCCTAAGTAGTATGGATGGCAACGCCATCACAGGTGACGCCAACACTTGCGCCGACAGAATATCTGCGAGAATCAAGGCTGTTTGTGATGCCGCCATGGCGAGCTCCACTGAAGGAAATGGAAGGAGACCAGTCCCTTGGTGGAACCATGAGATAGCCGTCGCCAGGAGCGCTATAAGGAGAAGAAATAAGCCCTCAAGATCGTTATTAAGACGAGTAAGAGCAAGTGTTTCCAAGAGCTGTGCGATGCAGCAGACCAGGAGCCATTCGGCTCGGCCTACGAGCTAGTTATGGGCAAACTCTACAGGCCACCGACTCCAACCTCTCTGGAACAACTTGGAGCTATAATCTCCACGCTGTTCCTGACGCACCCGCCTCTCGTGCTGCCTAGCATAGCTGCGAGCGAAGCGACCTTCATTGGCGAGGAGGAAATACTGTGCGCATTGGCCAGCAGCAAGGCCAGCCCCGGGATCAGATGACATTCCCAACGCTGCACTGCATGCCATAAGAAGGCTTACCCAAGCCTATTTGCATATGCATACAACAGATACATTGCTAAGCGCACTTTTCCAAGAGCGTGGAAACAGCAGAGACTAGTGATCATCCCTTAGCCAGGCAAGATAAACGACGACCTGTCCTCATATCGCCCCTTTACATGCTCAACACTCAACTCAACGCATCATCTGCAACAAGTTGGAGAGAGAAATTGAAGAGCGCGGAGCCCTATCGAACCAGCAGCACGGTTTCAGAAAGAAGCGGAGCACGATCGACGCGATACGCGAGGTAACGCTAATAACAGCAAACGCGATTGAAGTAGAATGATGGCAGGGAGGCACCAAGCAATACTGCCTGGTCTGCACCCTAGACGTCAAAAACGCCTTTAACTCAGCAAACTGGAGCTTAGTTCTGCAGGCACTCCAACGCGGCGGCATATCAGGGAACCTCACCCTCCTGATAGCGGACTACTTTAAGGATCGCGTCCTTCTGTACACATCCGATGACGGCAACCAGGCACACCACGTGACAGGAGGTGTACCCCAGAGCTCTGTTCTTGGGCCAATACTGTGGAATGTCATGTATGACGGGATCCTGAGACTTCCACCACCTGATGGCTGCGCCGTAGTAGGGTTCGCCGACGATATAGCGCTGGTCACGGTGGAGAAGCACCTGTCCGATGTCTCCGTTATATGCAGCCTCGGGATCGACATAATGATGTCTTGGCTGAAAGACAACGGTCTCTCGCTCGCCGAACACAAAACGGAAGAAGTGCTCATAAGCAGCAGAAAGACCGTAGAGAAGGTCATTTTCCGGGTCGGCTCGACAAACGTCGAGTCCAGTCCGGCGAATAAGTACGTTGGAGTCATGATCGATCATAGGCTAAATTTGTAGAGCCACCTGGAGTACGCAGCGGCCAAGGCATCCAAGTCCACCGCTGCTATCTCGAGAATGATGGCCAACACTCGTGGCCCCAAGCAGCACAGCAGACGACCAATAGCTACAGTGGTGACCTCGATTTGAGCGGAAGCTATGAGAACTGCTAGCTACAGCCGGCAGTGTAAGGGTATCTACAGACGCTGTGATTTACGCATCTCGAGCTGCTTCTGCACGGTGTCAGAAGAAGCTGCATTGGTGGTATCTGGAGCAATCCCAATAGGCCTACTGGCAGACGAGCGCAGGACTGGGAATTCGGGTAGCAGAATTCAGAGAAGCAGCAACATGGCTCGGTGGCAGTATAGATGGAACAGCACGAGGACAGGCCGGTGGGCTTACAGGCTCAGAGACGACATGGTCAGTTGGATTTCTACACTACGCAGATCATCAAGGCTTCAAGGCTTACTTGCACCGGTTTAAGCATGAGGTCTTTACTGAGGACTCGGAGCATGCCTTTTTTGTATGCCCACTATTCTCGGCGAAACGAGCTACGCTGGAAGCAGCCATGAACCGCCGCCTGACACCCGACAACTTAGTCGGCTGCATGATGGAGACCCCCTCCAAATAGGGATGCGGTTGCTGAAATGGCACAGTGCCACAGACAGACTTCAGATACTCCTGAAGAAGTATGAGAACTGGGCCTGTAGATGGAACGTGACCATCAACACAGACAAGTGTGCGAGCAGACAAATTCCCGCCATAGCCAGAACTTAAATTTAGATTTGGATTTGGATTTGAATTTGGATCTGAATTTGAACTTGAATTTGAATTTGGATTTTAAATTTTGAATTCTGAATTTTGAGTTTTGAATTTGGATTTTGAATTTTAAATTTTATATTTTAAATTTTGAATTTTAGATTTTAAATTTTGAATTTTGAATTTTGAATTTTGAATTTTGAATTTTAAATTTTAAATTTTAAATTTTGAATTTTGAATTTTAGGTTTTAAACTTTGAATTTTAAATTATAAATTTTGAATTCTAGGTTTTGAATTACGAATTTTAAATTTTAGATTTTGAATTTTGAATTTTAAATTTTAGATTTAAAATTTTAAATTTTGGATTTTAAATTTTAAATTTAAAATTTTGAATTTTGAATTTTAAATTTTAAATTTTAAATTTTAAATTTTAAATTTTAAATTTTAAATATTAAATTTTAAATTTTAAATTTTAAATTTTAAAAATTAAATTAAATTAAAATTAAAAATTAATTTTAAATTTTAAATTTTAAATTTTAAATTTTAAATTTTAAATTTTAAATTTTAAATTTTAAATTTTAAATTTTAAATTTTAAATTTGACATTCCCAACGCTGCACTGCATGCCATAAGAAGGCTTACCCAAGCCTATTTGCATATGCATACAACAGATACATTGCTAAGCGCACTTTTCCAAGAGCGTGGAAACAGCAGAGACTAGTGTTCATCCCTTAGCCAGGCAAGATAAACGACGACCTGTCCTCATATCGCCCCTTTACATGCTCAACACTCAACTCAACGCATCATCTGCAACAAGTTGGAGAGAGAAATTGAAGAGCGCGGAGCCCTATCGAACCAGCAGCACGGTTTCAGAAAGAAGCGGAGCACGATCGACGCGATACGCGAGGTAACGCTAATAACAGCAAACGCGATTGAAGTAGAATGATGGCAGGGAGGCACCAAGCAATACTGCCTGGTCTGCACCCTAGACGTCAAAAACGCCTTTAACTCAGCAAACTGGAGCTTAGTTCTGCAGGCACTCCAACGCGGCGGCATATCAGGGAACCTCACCCTCCTGATAGCGGACTACTTTAAGGATCGCGTCCTTCTGTACACATCCGATGACGGCAACCAGGCACACCACGTGACAGGAGGTGTACCCCAGAGCTCTGTTCTTGGGCCAATACTGTGGAATGTCATGTATGACGGGATCCTGAGA